TGTGGAATGATTGAGTTGGTTGTATGTTTGTTTATTTGTGGGTTTGTATGTGTGTGTGTGTGTGTGTGTGTGTGTGTGTGTGTGTGCGCCGGTGTCTTTGATATAAAGGAGGGTACAATTTTTCACTGTAGCAAGCTTAAGTTCTTGCAAGATTGAGATGGGAAAGCAAATCTTCTCTGGTGATGATGATGACGACGATGTTGTTGATGTTCTTGATGATGATGACGACGACGATGACGTCATCACCATAGTTTAATGTAAATTCGCATTAACCTGTTATGCCTTAAATTCACTCTCAGCAACACGCAACGCTGAAAATTATGAAAACAAAAAATTGTGAAAGCCTGTCCAAAATACAGAAAAATATACAAATAACTTAATACAAATACATACAAAACTTCATACAAAGTATACAAAAATATATACAAAACTATACAAAAACGTATCTATTGTATAGAAAAACCGGCAACATTTGCTTATGACAACAATTAAATTAATGTAATTTAGTGAAAAAAGTGCAAAATGACATTATATGACATTATAACATTGATAAAGTGACAATAAGGCGTGTTGGAAAAACTTCGTTTATGTATGTTTAACGATGTTTTAACAGCTTCTGATGTTGTTGATGTTGTTGTGGTTGTTGTTGTTGTGGTTGTTGTTGTGGTTGTTGTTGTGGTTGTTGTTGTGGTTGTTGTTGTGGTTGTTGTTGTGGTTGTTGTTGTGGTTGTTGTTGTGGTTAATGTTTCAAGGGATGTTTCCATCAAAGCAAGAAACTACAACAACAACAACATCATCATCAACAACAACATCATCATCGACAACAACCACAACAACAAAACATCATTATCATCATCAACGACAGCGTTATATTTCATTAACCAGTAGGAAAATAAATTAACAAAATTAAAAATAATAATAATAATAATTGTTATTATTATTATTATTGTTGTTGTCGTTATTATTATTGTTTTTGTTATTATTGCAATTGTTGTTTTAAGAGATTTGTTTGTTTTGCTTGAGATTTTTATGACGCCAAAAGTTAAATAGACCGAGAAAGCTAACGGATGTATTTAAGATGATGGTGATGATGCTGTTCGTCCGCTTGTATGTTTGTCTGTCTGTTTGTTTGTTTGTTCGTTGGTTTCTGTAATTGTTTGTTTGTTTGTTTGTTGATGTTTGTTCGTTCATGCATTTTGTTTGCACTATGGAAAAAATTTTAAATAGAGCTTTCGCTTATAATTAGAACAATCTCATTATTTTGGAAGAAAGAAAACCACATCATTGTCGTTGTTATCATCATCATCATCAACAGCATCATCATCATCATTATTATCATCATTGTCGTTGTCATCATTATCATCATCATCAACAGCAACATCATCACCATCATCATCATCACAAACAACTACAACAACAACAACTGCATGAACAACAACAACAACATCATGAACAACAACAACTGCAACATCATCCTCAACAACAACACCAACAACAACAACATCATCAAAGAAAAATCGATTGGATAATCTCATTAAACTAATTTAAAAGGCAAACCTGTCGTATTACATTTTCAGAATTCTCTGTATTATTACTACTACTACTACTACTATTACTGCTATTACTACAGTTGCAACTACTACTTGCCGCTACTACTTGCCACTACTGCCAATAGTTCGCCACTACTACTAATAGTATTACTGCTACTGCTGCTACTACTTCCATTTCTAAAAACAAAACGTTCGTAACAGTTCGTACACACACATACACAGACAAAATGCACACACACACATACATCCACAAACAAAACACATACACACACATTCTTATGTTATACACACACACACACACGCACACACACACACACACACACATATATATATATTTTTGAATATCTACATTTAATTCTGAAACCAAAAAAACATTGAAACTAACATTTGAAGCAAAAATCCATATCCGGTATCTTTTTAAGTAACGCTTTTAAAATTTATTATTATTATTTATTATTTTCATAATTATTTGTTATCATCATTATTTATTATCATTATTATTTATTTATTATTATTATAATTTTATTTTATTATACTGAAGACAACAACAGAGAAACTGGTTTGGTTTGGCAACCCATAATTACCAAACAAACGCCAATCTTGAAACATGTTTAACTTTTATTAATGCGAAAAAACAAACCATACAAAGCAATACAAACAACAATACAAAGCAATACAAACAACAATATAAAGCAATAAAAACAACAATACAAAAAACAATACAAAGCAATACAAACAACAATACAAAGAAGAATACAAAGAAGAATACAAAGAATACTGCAAAACAAATCACAAAAAATACAAAATGAATGCTAAGAAGCGCGCGAAACCATCATAGCGTTGACACTGGCAAACGTTCATTTTTCAACGCCAAGTAATCGCACGCCGTGAGGATTATCATCGTCCCTGGCTATATATCTATGTATGTATGTATGTATGTATGTATGTATGCTGAATGTATGTATGTATGTATGTATGTATGTATGTATGTAAGTATGTATGTATGTATGTATGTATGTATGTATGTATGTATGTATGCATGTATGTATGTATGTATGTATGTATGTATGTATGTATGTATGTATGTATGTATGTATGTATGTATGTATGTATGCATGCATCCAGGCTTAGTTCGGACGTGTAAAAGTGAATTAGGGTTTGTTTAGTGTCGTCTGCCTCTGCCGATGCGTGTGCATTTCTTGGTGTATGGGTGTATGAATTTATGTGTGTATGTACGTGTGTGTGTGTGTGTGTGTGTGTGTGTGTGTGTGTGTGTACGTGTATACATGCGTGTGTATGTGTGTGTATGCGTGTTGGTATATATACATCGGTTTGTGTGTTTTTGTATGTTGCAGTTGCAATGAGCGAATTCATCAATTCACCAATCAAATAAATAACAGGTAGAAAAAGAAAGAAAGAGAAAGAGAGAGAAAAAGAGAGAGAGAAAAAATACCTACAATACATTCATGTATTTGTTTGTTTAATAATAGTACTGGCATCTGAATAGTAGTGTATGAATTAATTGTATTGTTATGCTATTGAAGTATATGTATGTATATATGTATGTATGTATATAAATAATATATATATATATATATATAGAGAGAGAGAGAGACTCTTTCTATCTATCTATATATATATATATATATAGAGAGAGAGAGAGAGAGAGAAGAGGGAGAGAGATATTTCATTTTAAGAAGTATTAATAATTTAACATTTCTTTAAAAGGTATCCAAACCTTCTAATGTATAGAGATGTATGTATATCAATTATACAAATGTACATACTGATGACGAATTCGACTATAAATAAATAATTTATGTTCAGAACAAATTATATTTTTTTATAATTTAATTTTAATTAAAAATTTTAACTTAAAATCGGAATAAATTCACGAACTCGGAAGGGAATTACAAATATAAATCATTGTTGGTTACTGTTGTTATTATTCTTTCGTGTTGATTTAAATAATAAATAATAACAACAACAATAATAACAATAATAATAAGGGAGAATATTACTAGTAATGATGTTAGTAGTGTCATTTATGTAGTACTCTGTATTTCGGATGGTCTCCCCACTAATATGTAGACTTGCTGGCGTATGTGCCAAGACTAACGCAAGTTGATCAAGGAGGGGATGACTGACACTGAGAGGAAAGTTTCTAGCAAGCCGTCACTTAGTTTAGAAATCCATCCTAGAAAAAATTATAATTGGATTAACTTTGGTTAAATCTTTGTGAAGTTTTTACCAACTGTCTCGTGATTTGGGTGTTTGTTTGATACTACCGTGTGTGTGTGTGTGTGTGTGTGTGTGTGTGTGTGTGTGTGTGTAAACTGTGTAGGAGTCGTTGAATATATATGTAAGTATGTCTGTATGTGTGTGTTTGTATGTATGTATACTTATGTATGTGTGTGTTTGTATGTATGTATACTTATGTAGGGGCATCTGAATATATGTTAGTATGTGTGTATGTGTTTGTGTTTGTATGTGTGTGTTTGTATGTATGTATGCGTGTGTATCTAAACGCAGTGATGTAACAAGCAATTTCTTTTAATATGAGAAAAATTTTAAACTTTCTAAAATTTAAAACTGCAAAAAATGTCTCCATACTTGGTTCGACAATTATAATCCGCACTAAATAACACTTCAGAATTTCAATCTTGCTCAAATCTAATTTTCGTTTGATTCATTTTTATTACTAATCACTCAGGGAATGGCTTCAAATGCAAGCTGAGCCAAACTTTAAAAACAATCTTTATAATATATATATATATATATACTTATATACGAGTTATAAGCTTTTTATTTAATTTTTTGTATGTATGCTATAACAAGAATAGGCAGTAATAATGAT